ACCACCACCGCCTACGAAAGACGAAAGTGTGTCACGATTTCACCCGGAAATCCGACGGTTGTTTAAGAGTATGCACTTTTGGCACCTACTCTTTCTGAAATTAAAGACAAAATTAAAAATAATGAATATTCAAAGGGAAAAACTAAATCACAACTTAAACAGTTGAAAGATTTCAAAAATAAAGTATTAACAGAAGAAGATATTGATGGATTATATAAATTATATAATCCTGAGCCGCAAAAGCCAAAGGAACAAAAACAAAAGGAACAAAACACCCAGGTCCTTCAGACCATAAATGATGCACAAGCTTTAATTTATGATTCATTAGTTAAACCATATTCAGCCCGACTTTTAAATGAAGATCAACTTTTGGAATTCATCCTTCAACATAAACTCGAAGCGGGAAAGTATATCAAACCTTTATATACAGCATATTTAAAACAAATGAATAGAATACATCCAGAATTAATGAAGGAAGGAATGAAATCCAAAATCAAAGCAGATAAAATTAAACCACTTGCAACACCAAAACCTCCAACGACAGTACCTCCTCCTCCTTCAGTTAATCCTTCATCATTCACTTTATTATATCCATTTCAAACATTAAAGAAGCAAAAAGATTTTAAAAAGGATTTCAAGATATTAAATAAACCAATTGACCCGAAAATTCAACCGTTAAAGGAAAAATTTAGTCGCCCTTCATTTGCACCATATCCATATTCATACGAAATCGATCATCTGGAATATTCAAAAGGAAACGTTACTTATTTATTTGCCATTAACATTAACACTAGATATTTATATTGCATTCCGGTGAAAGGGAAAACAGAACAGGAAACAAGAAGAGCTATTCAATACTTACTAGATCATGAAAGAGTAGATAATATCAGGGGTGATGGTGATAAAGGATTTCAGGCAGCTATGACTCATTATTTCCCACAAATTAATTTTTTCTTCTCATCCTCTCCATATACGTTTCATAATAAAATAGTTGATGCGGTAATGAGAACTCTTAGAGATGCGTTAGGGGTTAACGGTCAGATATACTGGGATGGAAATCATGACTCCATCATACAGCAGTTAGTATATTATTACAATAATACATGGCATAGAACTATAAACATGAAACCGGTGGAAATGAAAAATGATATTTCAAAAGAATGGGAATATATTAGAAAGCAAATGGAAAAGTTAAATGATGTTAAACGTGAACAAATTAATTCGGGGCTCATGAATTTTAAACAAGGGGATAAAGTTTTGATTCATCTCGATTATGGAAAAACTGATAAATCAATGACAAAAAGAAGACGAAGATTTGACACAATAGCTGAATTTGTTAGATATATTAACGGCAATGCATTAGTTGAAGTTGACAATAAATTAATAGAAATTCCGATTTATTTTATTACTCATTATATTTAAATAATATTTAATTTTTTTTATTTCGTAAGAAATGAGTGACAACAAGCAGTCAAGAGTCCAGACAATGAATATAAAAAGAAACTAAACAGAATTAAATCAAAAATATGCTATTACAAAAAAGAAGTCGCAATGCGGTGGGGTTGAAAACAATAAAACTAATGGAACTGAAAACGATAAAGAGGGAAAGAAATAATCGAAAAATTAGAAACTTACCGTTCAATCATTAAACTGAGTGAAGCAAAAATAAAGAATTTAATAGAATAAATAAATTGGTTGGAAGAGATGAATTTAATAAAGATGAATTTTTAAACTCTATCCAAATTTAATTTTTATTCCTCTTCGAACATCTCTCTTTCCATCATTACTGCATAACCACATTTTCTCAATTTTAAGTGGTTTGTTATTTTTAACATGTTCTTGCATCATTTTTTATCATTTCCTCCCTTGTTATGATTCGTGGTAAATTTTGAGCTTGTGGGGTATTCATTTATGATAAAAATAAAAATTTAAATTATGCGTTCTAAAGTTTGTGACAACATGACATTTTGACAACATCATGGGTTATTCAATAATTAATTATTTTTGAAGAACTGAAGGGGTCACCAGGTCACCAGGTCACCAGGTCATTTAACTTCTCTTGAAAAAATGTGACAACATGACATTTTGACAACATCATGGGTTATTCAATAATTAATTATTTTTGAAGAACTGAAGGGTCACCAGGTCACCAGGTCACCAGGTCATTTAACTTCTCTGAAAAAATGTGACAACATGACATTTTGACAACATCACAGGAGGAAGGCAAAAATAAATTCCAGTCATTTTATAAAGCTTCATTCACAGGTATTTCATCGTCAGTAAATGATTCCTCATTATCGTTTGGTTCAATTTGTTTTATATAATCCTTTCATTTCTTCTTTCAAAACATAATACCATGTTTGTTTACCATCTATTTTTCTTTGTTTCCTTTCACATTTATCCTTAATGCTTTTGAAAGTTTTTGTCTTTCATGTCTGATGGTTTGCAGAATAGAGCATTTTTACACGTCATACCTGCACATAATTCATCATAATGTGTATTTATCCATTCATCTAAAGGATTTGTTGATAATTCTATTAAATCTTGTTTGGCTTCAGTCATCGGAATGATTCGTACATTAAATGATGAAAGGTCATATTGCATAAAATATGTTAGTAAATTATCATAAAATTCCTTAGTGCATGAATCCATTAAATTCTTGAAGTAATCAAATTGACCCTTGAATTTACCATTAACCCTTAAAACTACGTATCTTCTGTCTCCAACTTCAATTTTGACAGGGTAGACGTTATTAGTTACGAAAATGAAGTTTGCAACGTTCTGTGCAGTTCTTCTGGGTTGATTCTTTTCATTAATTCTAATCTCATTATCCGTTATAATTGATTTCAAAGCGTTGAAGTTTGCGAGTCTGTCTTCACCTACATTCTTGAGTTCATTAAGTACAAGAAACATTTTATTTTCAACTACTGAGTTGAAATTACCCGTTAGCTCACTTATTTCAGTAATGTTTTTACATGAATAACCAGCGAGGAGTTCAGAAATAATGTCTGTAAATCTGTTTTTACCTGTTCCCTGAAGTCCTTTCAAAATAATTGCTGTTTCATTCTTGATTCCAGGATGTTGAATCATTGATGCAATCCAGCCGAGAAGATATTTATACACTTCATCGTTATTATCACAAATGGCTTCTTTAATGAAATCCATAAACATCTCAATTTTTGAGTAATCAGGCTTTTCAAGAATGTTGTATTTATAACCCTGAAACGTTGAGAAAACATCTGGGGAATCAGATTTAAAGCAAACACCCTTAACGGTTAATGAAGACAATTGATTTATAGTACGTCCCATGCTGTTATGGTTTTACCTTCTTCTTTAAATAATTTAATCATTTTGAGTGACTCTTTCATGTTTGATTGAAGAACGAATGATATTTGATTCATTTTGTCGTGTATGTTGTAATCTTTCTGAATGAAATATTTGTTTCCACAATCTACAAAACGGATTACACGTGATAAATCCTCAATTACTTCAGAACTGTTTTTATACTGATGATTTTCAGCCTTGCGTCTAATATCTGTTATCAAAAACGAGTCATCAAGTTTGATATCAAATGTTATTTTTGGCTTACGTAATAAAGGTAAAACATATTCATCATAATATTCCTTTTGATAAAGTTTTAGAATCTTCACAAAACAAATGGAGAAGTCATTAAATGTGCATATCTACTACGTGCTTTTTCAAAATTACTTTTTGCATTTTCTGTTAAACTGCAGAAGTTATAACGTTATCGTATGCTTCATTAATTAAATGATTGGTAACGAATTAATAGCTTGAAACAGTGTGAATAATGTAACTTCTTTTTCTAAATTCATGTTTCCACCATCATTATGTACTTCAAAATCACAGATGCCATCAACTATGCTCTGGGCAAGTTTATCGTCAATGTTTACATCTTTGTTTTCATTCATGATAGTCTTTATTTCTTCGTTCTTCTGTTCAACTCTTACCTTAATATTCAAATCATTTAATATATCGTTTACTGTTCTGGTTAATGTTGAATCATAACTTCCACGAATGAATGAGTATGTATTGATTGGTTCTGATGCATTCTTGCGAACTCTTGAATCAGCCATAACTACTAATGAACGCTTTGAATCATCAATAGAAGTCATTATGTCAATATCATAATCATTGCAGGAATAACATTTAATCATTCTGTTCGAAACTGCATAGAAGAAATTCGTGTTGCAATAAATGTGAAGACCTCCTGAAGCGGTTTTAACGATAACATCTTTATCCGAAAGTTTTGATAAAATGTCTTTTCTAACTGTTTCTTTAAGTTCATCATTGTACGATTTATTGATATCAACATCTATAATCGTTAAATTTGAAATTTTATTTACTAATAAAGCTGTACCAGTTTTCCTTCCTCTTCCTCCATCATGTTTGAGGTAGTTATGTAAATCAATCTTGTTTTCACCAATTCTTTCGTTGAGGGTTTTAGTTTCTGCCACAACTAATTCCTCAGCTAATGAATCAATAACTTGTTCATCAGAAATGATAAAGTTGCTGTTGTTGTTTGTTGCTGTCATTTATATAGGAATAAAAAAATAAAAATAATTTTAAAACTAACTTTATTTTTGGGCTGCATCAAATTTTCGTAAATGTTGTCAAAATGTCATGTTGTCACATTTTTTCAGAGAAGTTAAATGACCTGGTGACCTGGTGACCCCTTCAGTTCTTCAAAAATAAGTCATAACTGCCTTCCTCCTGTGATGTTGTCAAAATGTCATGTTGTCACATTTTTCAGAGAAGTTAAATGACCTGGTGACCTGGTGACCTGGTGACCCCTTCAGTTCTTCAAAAATAATTAATTATTGAATAACTTAAATCATTTACTCACAATATTTTTGTACAAAACGACCCCAAGCTTTTAACTTCTTTTCTGCAGTTCATCCATTACTTCATTACCTAATTAATTACAAACATAAAATATATTTAGTTCATTCGGTAAGCCCAGACCTTTGGGTCAAGCACATTCATTGAACTCTATACCATGCGAATACAGTCATAAATGGTGGCATGTAATCTTTACTTTGTCCCGTTGTTTGCGTATATCCTGAAACGAAATGTGTATGGTTTCCTTCTCCCTGAGTGTCATCCCAGTAACAATTTATAGCAAACTTAACGTCGTCTTTAACATCATATCCTTTACCTTTTGTCATTCCTGACCAATCCCAATATCTATGCTTATGCCAACCTGCTTGAGATGTACTTAAATCTATGTAGTGACTGTGTGCAGGTAAATTTTCACCTGAAATCGTTTTACTTCCACCTGTTTCCTTTGAAGAGTTTGCACAATACAAAAACCTGTCAACTATTTGTTCCCATGCACCAACACCAAACATTACTTGAGGACCTCTTGCATCCATAGATGTATAAATAGAACCTACTGGGTTCATTAAATCAAACATATGAGATATTATAGGATTGTCTCTTTTGAACTTAAAATATAGTGTAACTATTTCAGGTTTCTTCTGGTTTGTGTCAGAATATTTTTTATAATATAATCTTATGTTTTCAGGGTAGGTAAAATCTTGACTATAATATTTATTTCTGTCATCTGTATAATAATATACTATTCTCGTTTTTTCTATTGCATTATATCTTTTATATCTATAATAATCTAAATATAATGTTAACTTTTGTTCATCTACATGTGGTGTTCTGACATCATCTCCATAGTCATAATAATATGGTGCTGGAGCTGGGTCAGGCAATGTCATATCTGCCATTTCATAAACTCTTAAATATTTCTTTTGTTCGTCTCCATATAAGTTTAAGTAACAGTTGTTGTCTAATGGAACTTTAACTTGTGTACCATTATTCTTTATATAGCCTACATACATTTCATTGTTATTTTTCGGAATGAGTTTATACCGTATACCATTTTTTAAGGAGTGTACAAACTCCCATCTAAAATATTTGTTTTCTTCATAGACAGAAACATCCCCAACAATAGTTTCAATATTTTTTGTTCCTATCAAACTTTGGTATATTTCGTTAACATATTCCTTATCCGCCTTCTTCTCTAACTCATCGTTAACATATGTTTTATCTGCTTTAAGGTCTAAACATCCTGAAACCCATCCTGTATCAGCTTTAACTTTAAAAGTCTCCAATGTCCATTCATGATACCATTCAACCCTTTCTTTAATTTCATTATCTTTTTCATCAACATAAACCAAATTTGCCTTCTTCATTAACTCACTATCCACATATTCCTTATCCGCCCTCTTCATTATGTCATTTAGGAAACCTTCTATGAATTCCTCATTTAAATTAAATCTTCCAATCTTCAAAACTTTAGGAAATGCATTTAATGCGTAATATCTCTGTTCTTCTGGTGGAATTGATGTTATATCATCCGTTATTCCTTTAATTTTTGAATTCATAAATAAAATTTCTTTTATATTTGATATCACCGCACCACCTTTGCAAACGAATTCGAAATGGTCATTTTTCAATACTATCTCCAAATCTCCATATTTCAACCTTTGCGTTTGTTCTGCCGTCTTTGAATTATATGCATATATGGCGTATGTAATGGTCTGAGGGACCTGGGTGCTTTGCGCCTTAAGTTGCTGTTGTTTAATCATTTATTATGATTTAAAAATATTTAATCCGTTATCTCATCAGCTATTTTTTCTATTTGAAATTGCCATAATATTTCATTCATAAATTCTAAATCACAATCAAATAGGTCAGTTATTCTAAATTTAATATTTGATAAATCTTTTGAATGAAGAATAAATGAATTCCCGGATAATTGAAACGGATATGATAAAGAAAATGTGTTTAAGTTGATGGATAAAATGTTTTGTATTGATGGGTAAGAGTTAGGGTCTAATGTTTGATGTGAAAATCTCATTGGGGTATTAACTTTATCACATTTGATTAAAATGAAATTGGAACCAGTGTCAGAATACAAAACATCCCCAACATCTTTTTCAAAATTTAATATCCCCAACAATGAACGAAGATGAGGAGTACAAAATTTAATTTTCAGCGGAAATTTAATAAGGTTATTTATTTCATCAAGTTCAAAAAGTTTATCGGGTTTTGATTTAAAATTTTCTTCATACCATACGATAAATGATTCATTTAAATAACTTAAAATCATGTTAATATCCCATTTCGCTATCACATTATTTATATACATATCATACGTTTTTTCATGGTCATCTTTAATAAATGATATATAATCTGAAGGGTCTAAAAGAATGGGATTAAATTTACCACTCACAGAAACGAGAGTAACATTATAAATTCCGCTAACTGTTAAATTTAATTCACAGTTATTATTCGAAATAATATTGATAATTGACATTTTTATTACGATTAAAAATATGGTAAAGCGTTATTTTCCAGTGATAAATAAAACTAGAATAAGATTACCTCAAGAATTCATAAATTCAACGAATAAGAAATTCATTCATGTTATAAATTTTAGTGTTTTCAGAAAATATGAGTCAATGTCATATTCATCAACAGGTTATATTTCACTTCATTCAAATTTAGTTCAATCAAACCCATATAATGACCATTTCATAAGATTTTCAGATGGTATTAAAAATGTAATTGATAGATTAAAATATGAACAGATTGACAATATCGAATTTTTGGAATTTTGGTTTAAATATCCCGATGGAAAAAAGATTGAAGTTAAAGATAAAGCTGATACTATAACAAAAACAATTACAATGACCGATCCGGATAGTGGGGAACAAAAAGAAATAAAACAAACGATAGAAACTGGTGAAAGGTCAATTATTATTGATTATGATTCAAAGGATTATTATTCGATAATGTTAATGCCTTGAATATTAAATAGCCTTAACAAAGAATTTTCAAGTGATATTTTATATTCATCAACTATTTTATTGTATATGTTATTATAAGTTAAATGTAGTTCAGTTGTTGCTCCGTTCTTTGATATCTTAATTGTGCTAATATCCTTTATAGGATTATTTTTGCAACTGTTCCGCAGCATGAACCTCATCATCTATGAAAAATTGAATCTTAACGTCTGAATCTTGAACATCACAAAGAATGGCGATAATGTGAATTAATGATTCATAAGGTAAAATAATTAAAACCAGATTGGTCAATTAAATTTATTATTGAATCATAATTATTAATTATTATATCACGGTAAATTTTCATTAATTCAGAATTAATGTCTATTTTATATGGCGCATTGCGACTGGAATCGTAGATTCCTGGGTTCTCGATGTTTGATGAAAGAGTGGGGGTATGTTGGATATGTGGGATTTCAACGGGTTCTTTACCGGGTTCAGATAAAATGATTGGTCTCCATCTTCTTTATTTTGCTCCTCCTCTTTCTTTGGAAGTCACGAGTTAATAAATTGGACTGTGTTGCTGACCTTGTTAATTCAGGACTAACATTAACTTTAACATTTTGAATAATTCGTGATTTATCATCATTTACGTTATAACCAACCGTAATCTCTGCTTTTTGCGTTTGTGTGTTCTTTTGACTTGTGAAACGTCTTCTCATTATAATTGAATAAAAAAAAAGAAAAAATATATTTAAAGTTTTATTTAGTTGTTACGGTAATATCCCAAGGTTCATCATTGTTTGCTTATACTTTCTTGTAACTGCACCAATATGTTATTGATATTGCTTTGAGTTTCTTCCAGTCTTATTTTATCATTTACAATATCTTTAATCATTCATTACATGCATTCTTAAACCATCTGATTTTTCTAATTTACGTCTATCACTTCTCTTTAATTAAATCAAAGTTATAACCTTGTTGAGAATAAAGTGGTTTCTTTATCAATTCCTTGAACGCTTCTGAAAGTGAAGATGAAGAAATTCTTGCCACTTGAATTGGTTTAAATTCTGCTTTCATTGCTTTTCTTCTGTTCATTGAACACTGGATCGAATAAAGCAACTTTAAAGAATTTCTTAGCTGGAATTTCAGGTTCTCAAATTTGCATATTGACCATAAACTGATTAACATATCGTGGTAATCCATTCGGTCCCTCTTCAACAGCATTTAATTCTTCATTGAAATAAGAATATGGATTAAGATGGTATGAATACATTGGACCATTTTCACCTTCTCCAATGTATTGTTTAACAGCTTTTCCATTTTCATCAAATTTCATAGGATAACGTTCATTATATGCTTTACGTTTAGGATAATCCGTCATTGTTAATTTATACCCATTTATGACTTTAATATTTCCTTGACCATCAGTAACGAAAACTTCATTTATACCATCAGGCTTTCCATTTGGTCCTGTAATGTCTGCTTCATGTGCTTCCCAATTTGGTCCATGACGTTTGGCATATGCTTGAGCTTCTGGTAATGTTAAAACGTTTCTCATTTGTTTAACATCCTTTTGAAGACCGGCAACAATGTGGACTAATTCTTTCATTCCGTCTGGAACTTTCATAGTTCTATTATATGCACCCTTTTTGTTTGTCCTTTGTTTTAATGGAACCTGTAGAAGATTTGCTATTTCTGTCATGTTTAATTATAAATAAAAAATAAAAATTAATTATAAAAAGTTAATCAAATTTAACACCTCCTTTATTTAAATCAACTATTATTTTTCCATGTTCACCTAATTGCTGATATTGTGTGTAAAGTTCATAATGCTCATTGGTAAATTCACTTGATAAAGCATAACGTTCAACTGTTGACGACTAACCCACTGAAATGAAAAGTGTTGATAGATTTGATTTAATGTTTGTGCTTAATGCTTTGAAGTATTGAACAGCCATGAAGAATGAACATTGAATATGTCGACATTGAGTTAATAATTGATTAAAATATGATTTCTCATTAGTTATTAGTTTTGATTTCACTGCATCATCTAGAAAAATGAGTGAATGCAAAAATTCTTTATCAAAATTTGAAATAGAAAGTGTTTCAAATAATTCATCCCGTTGTTTATCAATAATTTTATCCTCTAATCCTTGCTTCTTGATTGTATTATATAATTCTTTATACATTAAAAAGTTTTTTAAATAATCTTCTGCTTCTTCTTGTGATAAATAAATAATTGGAATTTTGATTAAATGCTTTAAAGATTCAAATGTATCATCTGAAGGTGAACCTGAACGGTTGATATAAATTAACACATGTGAATGGGGGGAAGTGTTAGCAATAATGATAATTTGTTTTAATATCGTTAATGTTTTACCTTTATTTTGTTTACCAATTGCTGCAGTGATTGAATTTAAGTAACATTCAGAATATGGAATTTTCATTAATTTTTCCTTAGATAGAGCATTTCTATTATCACTCAATGCTTCATTAATCATATCATCTACGTATGTATTATATACTCCCGCTAATTCTTCAGAATTTAAATCCATTTAATCAAAAATAAA